AATGATTACAGGAAGGTTCCAGAAAACTTCACGGTCTAAGGGGGACGCCCCTAGAACTGCCCCAGCAGAACCAAAATACAGATCCTCGAAGTGGATTTGGTCAATGATGGATCTGTGTTCTTAAATACATTTGATTTGATTTGACTTGACTTGACTTGACAGGACTGAAATAAATTAATTGGGCTTTCATGTATAGAGCATCTTAACCATATTTTTACTACTGATGTGCAGGTTCAATACTGACTTTGACTTTCTTTTATTTTTACCAGCTCCATTTGGCAGCAAACTAAATATTTAATGTTGTATTGCACTGTTTTGATAATGATGTAACCAACGAAAATATATATTTTCTGCGCAAGCGTTTAATAAGGTTTTCTTCTACAGACTGAATGAGGCAAGAAGAATAAATTAATTATACAAACTGTTTGTGCCAGAATCTTGAGGAACCTTTTGGACTCAGGACCCTCGGGGCTCCCCTGTCACCTGTCTTGGAGAACTGAAACCAGACTGGGTCTGGCATGTTATTTTCTGGGAAGGGTTTCTATTGTTATGGTGATTCATCTCTGCTAAACTGGTATGGGAACTAACATATGTGGGCAGGGTCCTATTCTTTTGTTTGTCTCTTTGTGCTATTTTTTGATTTTATCCAGCTCTGCAGGTGAACACCACAGGGATGACTTCCAGGTGTATCGAGCATGCTGAAAGAATTTGACCCCACCCAAGAGACTGGGTTTTTGTCAAGGATCTCTGCCAGGAAGCATTGGAATTTGAAATGCTGGCTGGGACCATTCCAGGTCCTGCTGACAACACACGCAGCTGTAAAGATCACCAAGAGGACAACTTGGATTCATGCCAGCCACTGCAGATGGTTCTTGGGTCCACCACCAGACAAGACCCACTAGCTGAGGAAGACCCATCGGCTGCCCTCTCAACCACATGGCAGAATAATTCCTGAGGACAAGTGATCTGATGACCCACACTGTATCGAGACCAGTGACTCGATAAGCCCAGAAACCCCCAAAACATCCCTTTCACCCCACTTTGTCAGGTCAAGTGGCCTGACACAAAACAGTCAGAGGCTAACAAAAGGAGAACGGAGTCTCCAAGCCCTGACACACACACACAAACGAACAAACAAACAGACACACACAAAAAAAAACACTGAACTGAACTGTCTGCCCCTCGCCGACAGAAGACGGACATACTACATATCGGATCGCCAACACACACACACACGCCACCTTATTTGTTGAAACACGCTGATATAGAGACTTTGACACACACAAAGACATCTCCACGGTCCTAGGAATTGTATACCGCTGAGCATCAAAGAATCCCTCACCTGGGAGGGCCTCCCAACTCATCAAAGCGCAGAAACGCAGACGGAGAAATTTAAAATTGTGGTGGTTGTCTTTTATTTGGTAATTTTGGGAGAACAGAGTACAAAAGTTTTTGTTCTGACGACATTGACCAAGCTGAAGTGACAAACCTAGAACAGACATGGGGATGAACCTTTCCGGGAATTATGATAGTTTGTGGTTATTTCACTCCATCTATAAAATCATCAAACACTGAATGATGTTTTGTTAGAAAAGGAGTTCAGAGGACTCAGAGGGAATGATCTGTTCTACAGTTGTAAAGGATGCTGAGTGGGCCATTGTAGGACGTCGTCATAAGGGGGCGTGAGACGATGTCGTGTTTTCCTTCCACAACGACAGAAACAAATCATCAGCCGTGGGAAGTTTTTCCACAGCATTCACACAGTATCCTAGGAAATAAAACACAAGTACTAGCCTTATACATGGGATCCTTACTCTAAGGATGAAAAGTAATCTTATTATTTTGAATACATGACTTAATGTTTTATACCTTTCTGGGTTGGCCTCTTTAGGGGAGGCCAAAAGGGGGAATTGTGGAAAAGGGAAAGTATTTATTTACTTATGGTGGGTTTACAGTCAATTAAATTAATCAGTTTATGGTGTTTACTCCCTTTCATTATAAATGTGTTGTCACATAGAAACAAGGTGGGTGTGGTAGTATGACAATTTGTTTTGGACAACGAGTAATGTGGGGTAACTTGTTTTGAACAAAGACGGGTGTGGGGTTTCACATTCTAGGGGCAGTTAGAAACTCTCCCAAAAGAAACAGATAGTAAAACTACTTTACCACTCTGAGGAGAAGGGGCATAGGAGGAGCTTAATGTCATGGCAACAGTATGAGTGAGCAGATGATTATCCAATCAAAAGAAGAACCTCCCCCAAAGGGGGACAGGCTTAGGAAAGGTTTATAACATTGTGTATTGAAGAAGTAAAGTCAGACACTCCTGGGGGGCCATCTTTAATGACCTCAAGTTGACGTACTCTGTCTGTCTCCTGAAATGCATTTCAGTTTGTGTTCTGTTTTGTCTTGTGCTTTAACTTTGTTTAAAATAAATCCTCTAAAACTAAGGTGAAGCCTCCGGAGCAGTACCTGTCCAATCAAACGAACACGCAGAGGGAAACTGGTCTCCCTCAACAATCTCTACAAAGATGATCTGAATCTGTAGAAACTAATCAGTGCTTTAGATCACTTTCATACACTGGTGAGACACACATCAGAGACAATGAGGGGTTCAGTATCTTGCTCAGTGTCACTTCAACATGTGACTGTTGGTGAAATCTAACCCCCAACTGTCCCATTGGAGGACGACTGCTCTAACCACTCAGTATTTTCTTCTTATGGATTGGCTGTACTGAAGCCTGCTGGCCTTTGTGGAATTATCACATAGATGGCTCTAGATAAGAGTGAGAGAATGTATGGTTGTTTGTCTCGTTTGTCTCTATGTGTCCCTGTGATGGCCTGGAGACCTGTCCAGTGTGTACCCTGCCTCTCGCACAGTGATAGCTGGACATGGGCACCAGTGACCCCCGCGACCCGAAAAGGAAGAAGCGGATAAAGTTAAGGGATGGATGTTGAAACGCTATGCCAATATGCGCAAAAGTAAAAATATATACAGTAGTCCCTCATTTATAGCGGGTAGTTTTGTACCCTGCGCCTGCTGAAAAAGAACGGAGGTAAACAAACTCCCTGCTACGCATGTTAGTGACCGTCTGCTACTGTAACAGCCAATCACCGCATGGGATACTAAGCATTTCGGTTAAAAAGCATTTCTGGTGTTTCGGTTCATCGTCAGAAACTTTTGAATGCACAGAAAGTTTAGAAACCATAACACGCCTAATGTCCAGTTGAAAAAGAGCGCAAGTAAACAAACATCTTGTACTGGCGGCTGTGGCTGAGTGGTTAGAGCAGTCGTCCTCCAATGGGAGAGTTGGGGGTTTGATTCTACCAGCAGTCACATGGTGAAGTGTCACTGGGCAAGACACTGAACCCCTCATTGCCTCGAATGTGTGTCCCATTGGTGTATGAATGTGATCTAAAGCTTTGATTGTTCTTTGTATAGATCTAGTAGAGTGCTGTATGAATGGGTAAATGAGGCACAGATTGTTATAAAGAGCTTTGAGTATCTCCATAAGATAGAAAGGAGCTGTATAAATACAGTCCATTTACAGTAACAGGCAACAGCCAATCAGTAGCCGGGTCACGTAGTAGGTAGCACAACGCTTCTCTTTCTCAAAGAGACATGTCCTCACATGATTTACACTTTCTTTTGAATCATACGTTTGTAAAGTTGAATTTTCTTAAAAAAAACTTTTCCATGTGACATGAATTAAATTTTACTTTTTAAAGGCCGGTTCAGCAGTCATGACTTTGCTTTGCAAAAATACTGTTTGGCAGAAAACAGTGCCCAGAGGCAAAAGTTGATTTGAATATTGTTAATAATCCACCACAGTGCCGGCCTGATGGCCGCGGTACGTTAAAATACAAACAGTTCGGTGGCAATAATTCCGTCAAGGCGCTGGATTCACCCGGAGACATTCAAGTCTCTGTGATGCAGAAAAAGTCCAAACCGTGCTCTTGAAAGTAGTCCCTGAGGATAAAAGTTTTGTTGGTAACAGATCTTGCGTTGACCAAACATATCCGGATACTGTCCAAAGTGGAGCCAGCAGCGGTGATGTTCGCGCGCATCAGTGGCCTCAGGTTTTCAATAACAGCCCCTCCAGGTCGGTCCGAGCTGCACACCGGCTGACAACTCCCGTTGTTTACCTGGTCCGGGCACGCGGGAAGCTGGCGATGGAAACCATGACCACCAGCTGAAGAGGAAGATGCAGCACGCAGGGCTTTAAGCTTTACCAGCCGCCCAGCATGTTTTTCCCGGCGTCTGAAGCGATGTCTCCGGGGAGGAAGGTGAGGAGCGCAGCGGAGGTAAGCTAGCATGTCCGCCAGCAGGGGGGGGAGAAGGGGGAGGTACGCTCATATTGTTCCAAATAAGCGACATCGGTGACAGAAAAACGAAGATCCAGAAGCTGTTGTAGGTCATACATCAGCAGTGAGTTTATATCACAGATAAAAAAACGAACAAAACAAAAATAATCCGAACACCATCAGCAGAGGTGGATTGCAAGCCTTGTACACGGGCGCCATCTTACCAGTTTATGTGGGTTTATGTGATCTGTTAGTGCTTGGAGGAGGACTCACAGCTACTACCACATCGAATGTGAGCACTTTAAATCTGTAAAAAAGTCAAACTATAGGAACATCTGTGTTTAAAGTTTGATATAATTTGTAAAGAATCAAGAAGTTGAATGAAATCAGACAATAAGTTTGAATAAATATAATATTGTAGGCTGTATGTTGAAGATTCTTAGTCACCAGTACATGACAAATCTTAAAAAACAAAAGAAAAATAAAGCAAGTGGACTTCAATTCAGTAGTTTCACCTCTCTTCCAGGAAGTTTTCTCAATTCACAACAAGAGTTTGGACTTTTGTTCTCAGGATGAACCAGTCTCTGTTACACTTGAATCGAGATGTCAGAAAACAAAAAGCCTTCAACTGCATACTAAAAGTCCAGTTGCTGTGTTTTTAAAAGATAGTTTTTGCTGAGTTTGTAGTGAGTTCTCACCTGTGACTTTCTTCTCATTATCATTGTAGTTACTGGAGGTGAGCAGAGTGCCAAAAATAAGAGCTGGAACGTACATTTTCTCTTCCTTGTGCTCCACCACAGGAATCCCTTTCCCATTGTTCCAGATGGTGATGGTGTTTGATTCTCTGGTGAGGTCAGAAGAAACGGGCAGAGTTACAGAAGACACAACACACACACACACCAGCAGTCTGATCTAACATGGTCTCAAGAGTTTTTGAAGATGTTCTCCACTGGTTTCATATGAAACTGATGCTTGTGCTTTACATGACTAGCACAACATAAAGTTTTATACAAGAGAGAAGAATTCTTTATAAGAGAATTATGCTGCACTTTCAGACTTCCCTCAGTCTACTTTACTGCCAGGTAGTACATATTTACAATAGAGAAAATTAAATTAATTAATTAAATACATCAAATTACATAAAATGTTATATCAATAAATAACATTAACTAAATAAAACTTATTTTAATCAATTAATTTCAGACAGAAAGGTAGGAACTGTGGCAGGTGGAGGAATCACAGTTCATGCTTGTTCATGCGTAACAAAATGTTCATGAATGAGCAGCTGTACCTGCTCAGACTCATTTCAATCTCCAACTACACAAAACTCTTTTTCCCCATGTTACCATATATTCCCATGAACATGGCTCAGTTTCTAAAAATGTTTTCATCCATGCAGACACACAAATAACTCCAAACACAGCTGCCACAACAAAGTGAAACTTCTCCTTTGTGTTAAACTCCTGCTGACAGAGGGGGGTTTGTGTACGGAGTTATAAAAACCTGGCTGGCCTCACCTCAGATTATTTGGTGTAATAAGTGCTTTTTCATTTGCTTTTTTAGGACTCGTACTGTTCCTCGCTCTCTTGTTGAAGCAACTGGCAGCACAAACGCAAACATCACCCGTTGTTTTAACGTCTGCCTCACTGAGGGTCAAGGGTTCCCATTTAATGAAAACACGATTTCCTGAGTTTTCCTTGAGAAAATCCTGAAATTCTAGGAGCGGTCAGTCACATTCAGAGCTGACAGTAAATATACCGTAGCCTATGTATGTACATTTAGCAGCCATTCCTAATAATTAATTACATTATATATATTTTTTTAAATCTAAAAAGCCTCCCGAGCCAGTCAATAAGGACACGTGTACTCTGTAGTCTGTAGGAGCAGAAAACGAATTCAGTGGTACCAGAATACTAGCATTAATCCATAAACACATTAAAATCTCAAAGATAATCTTTTAATCAGCAGATCAGGGTTCAGAGTTCTCCACGTCTGGAAAATGTGAAAGTCATTTTCCAGGTTTCCCCCGATTTCTAGATTAGATGGTAAATGGACTGTACTTATATAGCACCTTTCTATCTAACCAAGATACTCAAAGCGCTAGGGCTGCAACTAACGATTATTTCAATAATCGATTCATCTGACGATTTTTTTCGATTAATCGATGAATCGAAAAAAACAAACAAACAACGTTTTAATTTCCACCCCTTTATTCCAAAAGTGAACATATGACTGACATAGCAATTCACACAAAAAACAGGTTGCTATTTGACTATTCTGTTAGTAAAATATTGAATAATAAAAAATAAAAGTTAGTCAAATAGCTTAAAAAAATAAATGTACACAAAAATATATACAAATGTATCTTTATACCTGCACAGTATGTAGCTACTTTGTAAAATGTGTCCTTGAGGGAAGAGTGTAACCTGGATTAAA